CCGGAGGCCCCGCCCCCCGCTCACAGGTAGGGCTCCTTGTCTTTGATATGCGCTAGCTCCTCGCGGAGCTGGTGGAAGGGCGGCCGGTGCACTGCGTCCAGCGTCCAGCAGCGCCGCATCACCTCATACACGGCGGCTGGGCACCCATCAGGCGCGTCCATCTTGTAGCCCTTCTCCACGCGGGGCACCACGTCCTTCAGGGGCTGCAGAGGTGGCCCGTGAGGAATGCGGGGACATCCCGTGGGGATACCCCATAGGATGCACCCCATTGGATATACCCCCTGGAGACACCCCACAGGGACATCCCAACACCCCCATGGAAACACCCCATGTTGACACCCCATGAAGACATCCCATGGAAACATCCCAAACACTCGGGAGAATTCCCATGGGGACATCCCATTGGTTACATTCCTTGGGGACATCCCATGGGGACACCCTATGTATCCAATGGGACATCTCATTGGATACACCCCCTTGGGTCACCCCTTGGGGACATCCCCTTGGAACACCTGATGGGGACACCCATGCAGATTACTCATTGGATACACCCCTTGGGACACCCCTAAGGGACATCAGGGAAGATCACTTACGATTCGCGGATAAGGCACTCGCCCAAAGGAGTAGATTTCCCACAGGAGGATCCCAAAGCTCCACACGTCTGACTTGGTGGAGAATTTCTAGGGTGCAGAGATGGACACCGTGAGCGGACTCCATGGGGTGGCACCCTACATCCCTGCACCCATGACGAGGTGCCGGCACCCCGTGTCCCCACTCTGTCACCCACCTTTTCCCTAAGTGCTTCCGGCGCTGTCCACTTGACAGGCAGCTTGCCTGTGTCCTGCGTGGACGAGGCCTCCTTGGTGAGGCCAAAGTCGCTGACCTTGGCAATGTTGTCCTCTGAGACCAGCACGTTCCTGGCTGCCAGGTCCCGGTGCACAAAGTTGTTGGCTTCCAGGTACTCCATGGCCTCACAGACATCTCTGGGACGGGCAGCAGAGGGGCTCAGCGCCAGGACGGTGGCGATGGGCCCCTCCGGCCCCCCATGCCATACTCACAAGGAGAACTTGAGCAGGCAGTCCGCGCCGAGCACCGACCTCCCGCGCGATCGCAGGTAGTCCACGAGGCTGCCCTGCCACCATGGGATGCATATGGACCCTCAGAGCTGCACTGGCACCAGGGCACAGCCCAGTCTCCCTGGCTCTGCCACCACCCCCACAGCCCCCTCACCTTGGCCATGTACTCGGTGACGATGTAGAGGCCGCTCTTCTCCTCCACGATCACCCCCAGGAGCTGCACCAGGTTGCTGTGCCGGAGCTGCCTGCGTGGCACAGAGGGGTTCAGAGCTGCACTGGGGCTGCCCACCTCGGCCACTGCCTTCGTGTCATCTGTCCCTGCCCAGTGGTACTTACGTCATGACGGACGCCTCCGCCAGGAAGGCCTGCGCAGTGGCATCATTTTTAATGCACTTCACAGCGACTTTGTTGCCCCGGTAGTCACCCAGCATCACATCTGTAGGGACAGCAGAGAGGGCACCGGGAGTTGGGGACAAGCCACCACCCCACGTCTGCATGGGGCCTCCCCCTCCAGGGCCACTGCGGTGCTACGGACACCCAGACGTAGCCTGCACTCACCTCCGAACTCTCCTTTGCCAATGATCTGCAGCAACTTGAGGTCCTTCATGTTGAGGGCCCAGCCACCTGCGGAGGGAGAAGGAGGAGGAGGATGAGGAGGGAGAGGGGCAGTCAGGGAGGAAGCTGGGCCAGGGGCCATGCCACTCACTTCGAGAGAACTCATCCTGCGCCGCCACTGTGCCCTCCATCACCTTGGGCTTGATGAGGCGCGTGCAGAGTCCGTCGGCATCCGTGGTGTAATGCTGCGGGGAGAGGCGGGAGTCAGGCCCCGTGCACGGGGACAGCAGTGGACGTCTGCAGAGGCCACTCGAGCAGCGTGGCAGGGGGCTCGGCGGGACCCCGCTGGGGCCATGTCAGGCTCTGGGATCCCATTAGGTGGCAGCACAAGGCCACAGATGGGACCTGCGGGGGCTCGAGGTCATGTCCCTCTGCACCCAGTCCATGCTGAGCCCAGCCACCCGCTTGCTCCAAGGGTCCATCCTGACCCAAGGCAAGGATGCAGCAGCAAAGTCCCACCAGCGTGCTGGGTCCAGGAGGAGCACCTGGCACTTGATCCATGTCCCCGAGCTGGAGTGCTCGGATTGGGGACAGGCGGATGGGCGCTCATGCCAGGGGCGTTTCTGTGTCCTCACCTCCACGAGCTGCATGAGGTTCTCGAAGTAGACCTCCTCGTCGATGCTCAGCTTGCTGGAGGAGTAGATGATGCGGTAGTGCTCCACCTTGCCCTCGCAGCTCACGCACAGGGTGTAGTCACCCGGGTAGTTGGTGCTCTCCCGCACCAGGAAGAGTCCCGTCTCCGGCGGATACAGCAGCCGCTCCGCCTGCTCCCGCGTGATCTTCCCGTGGAACCACCTGCACCAGGAATAAGCAAGCGGAGAATGGGAAGGTTGGACACACAACCAGCCTCAGCCCAAGGAAGTACCCATGGCTGCTAGGTGCAGATGGGCGGGCGCCCCATGAGCCAGAGCCGCATCTCGCTCCAGGATAAAGACTTGGCATCTCCCGGGCGTCTTTGCCCCACAGGTACTCACGGCATGAGGCTGAGCTTGATCCCGGCTTTCACTCCTTCCCGCTTCTGCACGTAGTTAGCAGGGATAATGCCTTCCCGGCCCACCTTGTTCTTCGCCTTGTACCAGTTGGGATCCTGCAAGGAGAGCGGAGCGCTCAGCAGGAGCCCCTGCCAGGATGCTGCCGAGCCCCTGCTCTGCACCTCCCTCCCGGGAGGCATCCAAGACACTCACACTTCGGAGCAACGTTAACTAACAAGGATGTGAATTAATTAACCGAATGCATGGCCTGATTCCTGGCCCGCTGACTCCGTGGGGACGGCAAAGCCGCAGGGGCTTTTCCCAGGGACACACGGATCCCGCTAGCATGCTCCATCCTCAGCAAACTCTGTGTTGTGGGATGCGGGCAGCCAAGATGAGCATCCCAGGCAGCTCCACGTGGGGATCTCAGAGGTCCGAGCCTGGCGGACCCATCCGGAGTGCGGTGGCCAAAGGGGCCATCCCTTACCTTGGTGACAGCAACAATGGTGAGGACGTCTCCCTTGCTGAAGGGCAGGTCCTGCTCGGCGGTACCGTGGAAGTTGTACTTGGCGATACACTCTGTACCGGATGGCCAGACGGCCTGCGGGGGAGCAGAGCGCGGGTGTCAGCTCTGGCCCCGCTCCCCCAGCTACTTGCCACGGACAGAAGGTGCATTGGATGCATCCGAGGATGTAAGGGACCCATCCAGACCACGGTGCGTTCCCCACGGGCCTCACCTGCATCCCTGACATCTTCTCGGGAGGCTCGGGGGGCTGAATCTCACAGGAGGGACACGTCACTTGGTACCATGAGACCTGCAGAAGGGGAGGACACGTGAGACTCGGGCACCACAGGGATGGGCTCCAAGGAGTGTGACGGCCAGCGGCCCCAGCACGGATTCGGAGACGGAGGGATGTCGGGAGCCGCAAACACCCTGGACATGGTGCCAAGGGTGCTCAGGGCAGCCTGGAGCCAGTTGCCCCCAAAAGAGACATGTCCCCACTGTAAGGGGAAGCGGCGCAGGGACAGTCCCGTGCCCCGTTCCCACGCTCGTCACTGTGAGCATCGGTCATTGCCGGCGCAGAGAGTGAGGCCAGAGCAGCCGCGGGAGACGCCAGAGCAAACAGGAAGCGCCGGGGAGGCAGGGGCAGCTGCTGCAGTGCGGCCTGGGGCCAAGCGCGCCCAAGCGAGCGGCCCAGGCCCTGCGTCACCACCCAGCCATGCCTGTATGACGAGGGGGCCGTGGAGGGGGTCCCATCCTGTGGTACCCATTTTACTGGAGCAGGGCCGGATGGAGATGAGCACGCACACAGGCCCGGCAGGAGGAGGAGGAGGAGAGGCAAAGGAAATGGTGTCGGCTGCGGCACCACGCGGGGCCCTGCAGCACGACACGGCACCAGGGGTTCCACAGTGCTCGCTGGGTCCCCCCACAGCCCTGCCAGCCAGAAGCCACATGGCGCTTGGGGACTGCAACAGCCCCCCGCGCAGGACAGTGGTTTTCTGGGCTATTTTGGCTACAACTCGGCGCCTCCATCCAAGCCTGCTCACATGCCAGCCGCAGCATTGAGCCGGCCACATTCTGCCTTTCCATCTCCCGGAGCTTTTGGGGTATCTCTGGAGGGAGAAATCCCTGTCAGGAGGCGAGAGCGGGAGCAGAGTGGCGCGGGGCTCTGGCACGTTTCTCAGCTCGCTTCTCGGCTCGCCGCGGCGCTCGCGGGCGTGGGCCCGCCGCCGATCAGCGGCTAAAAATATTTTGGGAAAGAGGAACCGAAACAAGGGGCAAGGCCAGGAGGAGGAAGACGATAAGGGCCAGAACCTGCGGGGGGAGGAAGAGATCGGATGCAAACAGGGCCCTGCTCGCGCAGCCGCATGGCAGGTGCCCAGCGCAGCGGCAACCGGAAGAGCCATCACGGTGACGGCGGCACCTGCGGATCCCTGTGCACGGAAGAGCTCCGAGACACCCCGGCTCCCACGGCGTGGCCCGGAGCAGGATGAGGGCGAAACCGTTGCCTTTGGCCAACGAACCTCATGCAAAAGCAGCGGTGGGGCGCATGGGCCCAGGCATCCAGGGCCTTTCGGATGCACGAGTGAGGTTTCCCGGCACGCACTGCGGGACGCTTCGGGTCAACACAGGCACCGAGCGCGGCCCCGCATCCTCCTCCCACAGAGCGGCCGCTGGGACCGCTCGCTTGCGGCAAGCCCTGCTCGCTCTGGCACCGATTCCCAGCCAGAGTCCTGGGTGACAAAGCGTGGGATTTCAGGAAAGGTTCCGGTTTCTGCCAGGGCAAAAGGGAACCCAACAAAAACACAGAGAGGGAGCGAAACACAACCCTTTCCCAAGCCTTTTCCCAAAACCTCAAGAAGAGATGCCTTTGGGTGCCGTGGGGCAACCAAAGGTCTCCCTGAGAAGCAGAACAAGCTAATCCCAACATCTTGGGGCTTGGATGCGGGATTCAAGGAAAACTGCCCTGGCAGAGACGGAAATTGAGAGGAGGATAAAAAGGCCAAGCAGGCCAGAGGCTTTGGGAGCAGGGGTGGTTTGTGTGGGATAGGCCGGGAGCAGAGTGCCGGGGGCCTGGCTCACCCCAGCCCCTTCCCCATCCAGAGGGGTGATTCCCGACCTGACAGGGACGCAGCCCGGGGAAAAACCTGTTCTAGAAAGGAAATGGTCCTGGCAAACCCGAGCCGCAAGAAGAACGTGCTTTGGACAGTCCCAACGGTTGCAGCTTCCCGGACGGCGGAAATTCCCGCGACAACCCTACCGACGCAGCACGAGCCGTGTGCCC